GGCAAAAGGGACACAGGCAGGGGGACAGAGAGAGAGAGAGAGAGAGAGAGAGAGGGAGAGAGAGAGAGCGAGGGAGAGAGAGACTGCCTGGCTTCTGTAAGCTGTTTAGTGTTGGTGATGTCATTGCTAACCGCGCCTGCACCACAAGGACACAGTACACACATTTAAAAATCTTAAACACAAATATTTGCCCCTTTCTTTCTTTCAACACATATAATTAATCCGGGTAAAGCAGAGGTTTGACTGGTATTTGTAGCGATATCAAGCCAGCTGTTTCCCCCGTGTCCACGCTGTATGCTAAGCTAAGCTAACTTCTCTCTGGGTTTAGCTTCATATTTAAAGTTACTACAAGGGACTTTCAACTATATGGAACAGCCGTCGCTGCTCCGCTGTTCCCCGCTGGGAGCCAACAGCTACACCGCGCCGCTGGATACCCAGAGACCCAGGCCGTATTGCTGGGACCACCGGAGGGAAGGACGGCACGGGACCACCAGAACCAGGATGGCGAGGGGCAGACTGTCAGACCCTGCTGCAGTAAAATGAGAGGTTTTCTAAAAGGGAGTCTTGTGCAAGGGGAGCATTACCGCTTTTGTCCAGAGTGACCGCCAAAATCGACAGAAAATGGAAGTTGCGCCACAGTAGCTTTAACGGACAGAGTGGCATCAATCTTCTCATGTCACTCTCGGTCGAGAAATCAAATGAAGAAACAAGACTTTCGGGGTATTAGTCTCTTTTCAAGGCAGGCATTTTGAGTTGTCAAAGCAAGAAACGCACAGGTGTAAATAAGTGTACCAGTATGCCATGTCAGTGGTCGGTGAGTGAGTACGCGCAATTCTGAAATTGGATCACCTAAATGGAATGCAGCCATCGTCAATGTTACCGATTCACATGAGGAGTTATCCCGCATACAACATTTGCTGGATGAAAATCAGGGACGTTTTCATTGTATGTCTTGCCTGAACTTTGGTTGACCTTTGAAGGAAAACCTTTCTGTACATCAGTTAACAACGAGCTGCCGATGAAGTCCAGCGAGGTTTTAACAACCTCGCTGGACAATCTTTAGCACAAGATTAGCATCATCACATCAGGCCCGCCGCAGTCTCTCATGAATGTTAACTGGAACAGGACCACAGTACGTAAATTATTTCCAAATAGACAAATTAATATGGAACACAGCTCAAAAAGGATCTAGCGAGCCAAATTAGTCCCAAATCACCATCACAGCCTGCATGCAACCAGGCACTGATTGATGTCGGGAATTAAGTGGAATGGCATCGCCCTTGTTGGCTCAAGTGATCAAATCATTCCAGCTTGTTGTTGGATGGTGAAACCGCAGTAAAACTGCCAAGCACTGGTTTTATTAAATGTAAGCAAACAACTCTCTGAATATATCCTCCCAAGACAAACGTCAGCTCGAGCACGCTGCCGTGTGTGACACAGCTGCGTTTGTCCTTATTTTTCTTTGTATTAAGCACTCTAAGTGGCTCACTAGCTGAGAATACACACAGCAGAAGACACAATAGCTCATTCAGGCATGAGGAATTTAAAGTAATCTCGGAACCATCGAGTCCACTGCCATCGGACGAAAAAAAAAGAAGATGTCTGAGAGGACAGCAGGGGTAATGGCTCCTAACACATCAGTAGTCTCATCCACTGCTCTTATCCTAACAGGCGCATCATCCCCTGGACAATTGCAAACAAGGCTCAGGGCCTCTGAAGTTCTGCTGGATGTGACTCCTGCTGCTGCTGCAACCATCGCTGTCAACAGCACAAGCTGCACTCTGCAAAGTGGAATATGTCAAGCGAACACCTAAATCATATTTGTATTTTTTTTTGTATTTGGAATATATATATATATATATATATATATATATAAATATCTGTAAAGGACTGGGATGGTTGGGGGGGGTTAACCGGAGAGAGGAGGTGATATCGGAGCCGTTTGTCTCCCATGTCTTCCCTCTTACTGGAGCTTCGAATATTGTTCATAAGGTCCTCGCCAACCATCTCATCGGCAACTTTGACTGATGTACGAGGCGTTGCCATGGCGACCAGCATGTGGGGGAACGATAAGTGACTTTGGCACGAGAGTATCTCCTTCTGGACTATTAAGGCCTCCAAGGGCTGCGCGTGCGTTTTTTTTCTTTTGGCGTCTTCGTGTGGACGCGTGAGCGGCGCCGAGCTGAACACCCAGCGGCCCTCTGCTGCCTCCCACTCGAAGGGTTAATCTGGTGAAGAAATATCTTGATTGACGGGGGGCTGCACGCGGGTGTCTCGAGCTCATATACGTTGTGACAGGCGAGCGACGAACGAGGACGCGACGGAGTGAGAGAATCAAATGGAGAAAGAAATGTTATGAAGTTCCGCTCGCCAGCAGCTGTGGTTTTAAATGCAATTAGGTCCAAAAGCAAGATGCAAAATCACTCCAGTGTTCGGCGACTGGTTAGCGCCACTGAGTATGACTCTTAGTAATGGAAAGACCTGTCACATCTTGAGCTCAGCCCCTTCATTTTCACAGTGCACTGCTTCCATTTTTTTTTTTACCCTCAAAGCACAAATGTTAGCTCGCTGGATGCTGCACTTCAGCACCCAGAGTCAGCTCCAGAAGGCACAGATGATGTCTTTGTATGCAGGAACCGGTAGAACCACTACGCCCTCTACCGGTCAAAAGACTAAATGCAGGTGTCAGGCAATATTCTACTGTAGTGTTGTTGCTGGCGATGAAGGGAATAAGTGTGCACAAGCTCCCATGTTGCCTTGATTAAAACACACACCGGGACGGTAGCAGACAGGAGTGTTTGTACCAACCCGACTGAGGGTAGACAGTTTAAAAAACAACAAACAATGTAATTTATTTGTTCTCCTTATTATGACCTCAATTGCTCGAGGTTCGAGTGAATTCCTTTGCCAGGTGCAGCAATATGAACTAACGTAACAGGATTAAACATAACAGGATTATCGTGCTGCATGATTTGCGTTGAATCGCTTCCAACACGGTTAACCAAACTGCACCCGACTGTGTTGAGGATCCTTGCTCTGCGGCTCCTGCAATACAAGAACTCATTTTGAATTTGCTGTTGAACAAAGTTGTTCTTTTACTGACCCTGACAAATGAGTCAGCTTCAGGCGGCATTTAGAGGCATTCGCTTTCTCAAATATGCATCTCCCTTTTAAGAATTAAGAACTTGACTCCTTTGCTGCAGTAAAATATTAATAATAAAATAGGCCTCACATTAATTGATTGTGAAAAATGAACAGAAATGTTACTTTTGTTTCTTTTGACACCCCTGAGGTAATATATTTATAATGTAAAAATTATAAATCATTCATCATCAGCATGCACATCCCCGCGGCGGCGTCCAATTTATCTGTAGCGCAACACACAACCGAGCGCCTGTGGCACAGTTTATGTAAATAGGTATACATTGTGAACTGTGGGAAGGGCAACGGAAATCTTCCCCGTGAGACGACAAGTCAGCCCACTGAAGCTGATAAATCACTTTGCAGGCGTTCCCAAGTGCATTGGTTTTACAGTCCGTGCGTTTTCAGTGGCGCTGCTTCACAACTGCAGCCTTGGTTGAGCTCCACACACAAACACAACAGATTTATAGTTCAGATTTATAGTGGCAAACTGCGGCCAGCAGTGAGATTTTAAAAATAAACTAGGATATGGTTTGAGCATGTTTCTAATAAATTGCGCTATAGTTTAGATCCCAGATGTCGACTAAATTTAGCAAACGCGTCTCTGTCTTAACCTCTTGGCACATAACCGACATTTAACTATTTCTGCCTGTTCCGTTTGTTACATCTTAATATCAGACTTACATGGTAATCTTTTAAGTGGTGCCCTTGGGCCATGAAGACAAACCAATATTTGGCCGTTTCTGCCTGATTTAACTTAATAGGTTTACAAATAGCAACATCATATTGTATGTGGCCTCTTTAGCCTCTAGCCCTGTGTTAGAGTTTAAAAGTATTTAACAAATTCAATTCAATTTAGAAGATACAGAACTACTTTTTGTAGCATCTGGACACACCAATGCCAAATTCTAAATTGTTTTGTAGTGTTGCGTAGTTATTTTGCTAATGCATTTTCTTTAGCACATTTGGTTTGCAGGTCTAGAATTTTTTTTTTCTTGCAGTGCAACTGGTTGACAACTACGCATTTCCGATTGTCTTTCTGTATACGGCTCACAATCCAAAACAGTTTGGACACCTCTGGTCTCATTGCCAAATAAATTTAGATTCTGGGAGCAAGTGGATGCAGTGAAAGCAGCTGCCTGCAGGACAGAGACAGATAGTGGCCTCGACAGGTAGGCAGAGAGCCACAGACAGACGCGTATCCCAGTCTGAGTCAGAGGTGGGCTCATGATGAAAGGTCTGCCGGCATCGTACACTGACTGCACACAACCACTGCCAAACACTGTGCGGACCTGCTGAACCGCACCTGAACCTTATCCAGCACACGCAAACACGCAACAACGTAAAACCATTAGACGCTGTCTGACAAACACTAGACGAACGCCACCGTTAAGATGTGTGACAACACAAGTCTGGGAGGTTTGTCATATTTCTGTTGAACAACCCAAATTCAAAACATCTCGGAGGCCTCGGTGTAGCCATGAATGAAGGATGAACGAGTTAAAGCCAGTGTGTGCGTACCAACATGCAAATCTCTCATGTATATAGATATATATGGATGAAGCAATACTGCAGAATGATGGATTACGGATGCGCACACACGGTTCGCAGTGATTTAAGTTGTGTGTCACAGTGCGTCAGGACCGGAACATAAACTCCCTGTTCCAAGCCCGGGAGCAGCTGATGAGCTATCACTACCGGGACTTTATCGAGCTCGTCATCCTGCAGGAGCAGAGTCCTCCAGTGATAAATTAGATTATATCACTCCATACTAAAAGCATATTGTCAGTGCGTATAGGTGTATTAAAACACGTACTTTTGTCAGGTATCACACATTACTTTCAATTTACTTCTTTCACTGTTAGAATAGAAATTCTCAGTCACGGTAGTAGAAAAAAAAAAAAAAGGTGTTTTAGTTTAGAATGTAGGATTCTTTACTTTTACTCCGTATATGATGGATGTAAACACGTCTTGCATGCATGCTGGAGGTGACTGCCCACACTTCTTACATATGTGGGCCATCACCGGAGCGACTTAGTAGTATAAAGCTGCACAGACTTCTTCAGAGTCTCTGTAGGAGGAGCAGGATTAGCAACATTAAGAGGGAGTCATTTAATTTAATGTTAGAAAGACATAATGGAGCACTAAGTGTAGCGTTTGTGTAGGTTACCGGACCGTATTGTGCTTCTTTTTGCTGAAAACTATTTTGTTTGGGCTGTACAGCCAGTCAGATTTTGAAAGGTTCACAATGTGAAATCCACAGTCACTGCCATTCATGTCACGTAACACCCTGAGGGGGAAAAACTGGCACCAAAGGTCAGAATACGAAGCAATATGATGGGGATAAAAACACCAAATTGACAAAGTGAGACCTGTAACACTTTTAATTATGGCTTTACAATATTATACAACAACAAAAAAGACTTTGATATAGTTTAGAATCAGAGGCGACAGAATTCCCTTTTCTATCACAAAATGTCTAGTTCAGCTTTTATAGCATATACACAGGCAGCGGGCTGGAACTTCCTGTTTAGAGTCCATTAGAAACATTTCTATTCCCTTTATTATCTTGGTCTTATTAATCAAACCGAGACCAGACTCTTCTGAGTACAGACACTCAAACACACACACACACACACACACACACACACACACACACACACACACACACACACACAAACACAAACACAAACACAAACACTTCCCTTTTTTTCCCTTTCAGGCTAAATTTCCTTATTTCACAAATCATAGTCCTTGAGATACATCACCAGCTTTCCTTGCAGATCTCTGCCTTGGATGGCTTTTACCTTTCTTTGCTGTGGGTGATTTCCATTTCATGCCACTAGAAGAAATTATACATGCACCTTGAATACCGTCCCACAGACGAACTGTATATCCAAGGCCACCACACCACCTAGGAAAACGTTTAAGTGCAGTCAAGAAACTATAAAGGGGACATTAGTGTTATTAACTGTCTTAATATATTACATTGGTCCCTTTTACCCTCTTTTCCAAATATAAGTCCCTTTATTTCCTCTACCTGAAATGTATTGTCAGACACAATTTAAAAAAGACACTGAATATATATCTTTTGATGTGCATAGATATTGATAAAGTGCAAATAGCATTTGGTTAAAAAAAGCTTGTTGGTGTATAACTTGATCCAGTCTTTGAAGCATGGAGAAGAAAACAAATCAACCAGTCGCTGGTTTATAGTCATGCTGGTTCTGATCTGTAAATAGAAGTCCATCTCTGGTATCAGTTCTGTTTCATGTGATTTTCCAGTTTGCTCCTCAGTCACCCATTTCTGACCAACCCATGGCAAACACTGCATCCACTGGAATCTCTCTCTCTCTCTCTCTCTCTCTCTCTCTCCCTCTCTCTCCCTCTCTCTCCCTCCCTCTCTCTCTCCCTCTCTCTCTCCCAGCTGCTCGGCTGTAATTCCTCTGACGCCCCGGTGGGGGCAGCGTTTCTGCAGAGCTCTACTTCTCATCCACCATTAAGATTTCCTCGGGGATCTTCTCCTCCGAGTCGGAGCGTTCCGACAGCTTGTCCAGGTACTCCATGTCGCTGAAGCGCTCGGCGACACACTGGGCTGTCAGGCGGGCCTCCGGATCGTGGTCCCAGCACTCGTCTATGGATTCGCACACCATCTGGATGCCCTGCACGGGGAGCAATAGAACCCAGATACAATCAGTCAATAATACAGACCCGGGGCGAGCCTGGCAGACAGAATATCATCACCTCGAGCGACGAATGTTCATGTGTATTTATGCGTGTCAATCTGGGTCTAACTAAAGCAGCTGGCGTGCAATAAATCCTCCCTTCATTAAGGTTTTAATGCTCATTTGACATTCAATTTGTTTAAATGGAAAAAATTAGGAGTCTGCCATTCACAATACCAAACAGAAATGCCACAAAGTACACAATTAAGCTTAAAAGGTGCCCTGTGGAGTTTTCTTATGAACAAAACAAAAGTTATGTTTACATTTCGTGTTAACAGCAAAACACATAGTTTGTGTCCTTGAGGTCTAACAAATGTGTCGAGTGCTTTTACTTCCTCGTGAAACACTTACAAATCCAGATGCAGCTCTTCGGCTTTTATACCACTTCAAGTACTGGATGACACTACTTTAAAAAGGTCTAGTGTGTAGGATTTAGTGGCTTCTAGTGGTGAGGATGCAGACTGCAACCAACTGAATACCCCTCCGCTCACTCCTCCCATGAACTACTGAGGCCTTCAGGTACCGTGAAAACAAAAGGCTCTCTCTTAAGCTTGTCCGCTCTGGGCTACCGTAGAAACATGGCGGACTTACTAGGTAGTTATAAACTGCTTATTCTTCTGACTCGTCTTTCTGGTGATTATACACTAATAAAAACATGGTTATCAAGCGTGTATTTCTTTTCTGCCAACAGATCCCTCTAAATGCTACTCATTAGATCTTTAATATTAGGAGATGGGATGGACATTTCTTTATTCTGGTGTTCCAGTAACAACACTAAATACTGTACAAAGAGCAACATGTGTGTTGTTTTCCTCTTGTTTTGTCAATTCTTCTTGTCAGTATTTGCCATTGCATTTTGTAGGTTGTCCAACAGGACTTGTTTATATATTCATTAGTTTGATTATTTATATGGGATAGTGCACCTAAAAATCAACATGGCTCTACATCGATGTAAATGTGCCCAGGCTGTGTGTGGCGCCTCTTACTGTGTGGTTGATCCAGCTGTCGGGGATCTCAGGTCTTCCTCGGTCTCGGAGGACGCTGTCTTTCATGCTCTCTACACACGGGTGTTCCCTCAGGTTCCCAAAGGGTGGCTGGTACTCTTTCACCTCTGTACACACACACACACACACACACACACACACACACACACACACACACA